GGCTGCTTGCACTGTATGCTTCCCGGGAAGCTGAGAATGTTTCGGAGTGTTCTATGGTCTGCTGGGGTAATAATATAGTGTAAAGCGCATAGAGCCTGCTGCTGAGCGGGGATATGCGCTATACAAATGCTATCTTTATTATTATTATTATTATTAAGCGTGATGTATTTATTTCCATAATGTTCAAATCCGAGAAGTAACTCATTTTGTCAGCACACTTTACATATAATTAAAATTTTCATTTATACCTGCATGTGTATGCTCTAAGAAGTTTGAAGTCTCAATAGCAAGGAGTTTGTAAATAGTTTCTTCTCTATTCCCTGATCGATAGCTCTGTGATAGCATCTGTGGGGCATCGTGGTGAGATCAGGCGCTTGTCAAAATAAGAAAATCGAAGAAACCGTTATTTTTCTACCGGTTCCGGAATTCTTTTTCGATTTAAAAAATGGCTCAACACCTTTTAGGTCAATTTGAAAACATATTTCTGTGTGGATGTTACTGGAAAATGTTGATTAAAGACTCACAAAGTGTACATTTTCAACTTCCAAGGACTCTCTAGCTATGGCTGTTGGCATATTTTGGCCATTTTCTCGCTAATTTTACGTCTGAAAGCAGGCGACCCCACCTCCTTCAATCCCAAATATCTCGACTTCTATTCAAGATAATGGACTTTTTTTCCGGCCAAAAGCAAGACAAATGGACAGGCTACAAGATGATAGAAATAACTCCATATCCCCAAAAATTGACGAGCGCCTGATTCCACCACGTCGTGACACATATCTACTTAGTTATGGGAGAGGACGAGAGATAACAGGGCATTGATTGTGGCATGTTGAAGTTATGGAGGAGTGCTCGAGATGGAAGTCAAGCTTAAGTGGAGTTTGACATGACCTGGATTCACATGTTGACCTTCTACCTTAGAAAACCTTTGCTTTGTCCTTTTGATAGTGATCCATGAAGTATTACTTCTGACGTAAGGGTTTGGAGACGAGGATAGAAAGTGCACGTATAATGCTATTTTTTCTTTTGGGATTTGAAAGAAAATACGAAAAGTCATGACGTCAGTACCACAGTCATTCTTTAACCATATGTGAGGCATCGTGGTGAAATCAGGCGCTCGTCAAAATAATCAAATCAAAGAAAACTACATTTTTCCATTTGGTTGTCAGTTGTTGTTTTAATTAGTTTTTCGCTCAACACCTTTTAATACTATTTAAAACACATTTTAGTGTTGATTTTACTGAAAAGCGTTGATTAAAGGCACAAAAAAAGTAAATTTCCATTTCCAAAGGCCTCTCAATCTGTGGATTTATCAAACTTTTGAGGCCATTTTCTCCATAGTTTTATTTCTGAAACCAGGCGACCCCTCCTCCTTCCATCGCAACCATCTGGACTTCTATTCAAGATAGTTCAGTATTTTCACAAATTGAAATCAAGAAAAATGAACAAGCTTTAAAGATGATTCCAACATTAAAAAGCAGCAGTTCCCCTATGTTGTTTCGGCACAGTATGTATGAGCATGACATTGATAAATCTGCCCATTTACAATTCTACTATGTATAACAACATGTTAATATCCCCCCTTTCTGAATGGCCTAAAGACACTTCAGTCAGTAGCACTGCCCTGGTGGGTAGGGAGGGGGGTTGTGAGGATTTAGCAGCTTCTTCCAAAGACTACCTGGCACTTCTTCTCCCATTCGAAAAGAAAAGGACGGGCTGAGTGGGGATAAGAGCCAGTTTATTAGATCTTTTAAACTACAATAATCCTCTAGGACCTTGGGAGAAACTGTTTCGCTGACTTGGACAATTCTTTGCTCACTAGCAGCGAGAGAAGGCGTCACCTGCCGAGTGGTGACGTGACATCTTGGCCTGTGTGCGTTTTTTGAGTAAATTTCGACTTGAGCCATTTCTCTCGTGCATAAGACGTGTGCTAAAACAAACTCACATGTGCACAATAAAGACTGTGGTGGGTTTTTATGCGTGAATGTCTTGTCTGCTCCTTCTCTTGTTTGGACAAGGGGGGTAACCCAGATGTCAGGGGCTTCCAGAAATCTTGACCTACACCAAAAGTGGACATTGCCCTTCTTATAGGAGAAGTTTGGTTTCATTGGTGAGTATATTTGTTTGATTTTAGAGAAAACTCCCCTTGTCTTTTGATTAAACTGAACAAGGGGCAAAAACTTTTCCTTCGATTTTCTCAAAAAGCTTTCTCGGGATAGCCCCCTTGTATTTAAAAGCGACTATTCTTTGACCAAATTTTCTTTCTTTTTTTATCGTCTTCAGAAAAATTCGCTCAGCCCAGCCCCCCGAGAGAACGATCATCCACAAAATCAGCAGAGACGAGCTCCCGGCTTTCAAAGATTTTGACAAGATCAAAAAAATGTTTGCCCAGCCTTCCTACCCAAAGCATTACCCAAACACAGTGAAGGTGAGAGCGACTTGACAGCACGTGCGACAGAATAAAGCTCTTCCCACTCTTTCCTTCCACACAATTTAGAGTTTATGGAGAATTTCGTCGCTTTGAAGGACAGCGGACTAACCCAGATTTAGGAGGTTTCCATAAATCTTGACCTACAAAAGTGGGCCTTGCCCTACCGATACGACGCTGGGAGCGTCTGATACTAGATCTAGTGACAATTCTTTCCTTTCATGTCGTGATAGTTTTTGCTTGTCTTTTGAACTTTTCCCAACCCTAGTTTTTTAATAATGACTAAGCCTTTGTGTCCACAATTTAAAAGTTGCAGGCAAGCTTTTGGGGGTTACAATGGGACATCGTGCACCAGGTTTAGGTGACTGTAGAAAAAACTCCGGGAAACGAAGGAAAGAAACTCAGGGTTTAGAGAGTTAAGTGGAAACAAATGGCTTTCTCCTCAATTAGCTAAGCACCACATTTGGAGGTCACAAATATCGTATATTGATACACCGACAAAAAGGCGATGAGATGGAAAGTCACGTTCACATTATCTTGTGAGGCGATGAGATGGGAAGTCACGTTCACATTATCTTGTGAGGCATCATGTTGAAATCAGGCTCTCGTCAACATAATAAAGTCGAAGAAAAAGGCATTTTCCCACCGGTTTAGCAATTTTTATAGAAATTTTGATTTTTGGCTAAACACCTTTCTTGTTCATATGTATACACATTTCCATGTCAATTTTACTTTTAAAAAACCTTGTTTAAGTATGTAATTTTCAGTTTTGAAGGCCTCTTAAGCTATTCAAGTTACCAAACTTTGGCGGCCATTTTCTCATTAATTTAATCACTGAAACCAGGCTACCCCACTTTCTTTAGTCACAAATATCTCGACTTCTATTCAAGCTAGCTGGACATTATTTCATTGAAAGCAAGACAAATGAATACGCTTTCAGGTGATACCAATAACTCTACATACCCAAAAATGGACGAGCACCTGATTCCACCACGTCATAACATAATGGCTGTCTCCTCAAATGGCTAAACACCAGATTTGGAGATCACAAATACCGTACATTGATACACCGACAAATAGACGATGATACGCCGACAAATAGATGATGATACTCCGACAAATAGAGGATGATACGCCGACAAATAGAGGATGATACGCCAACAAATAGAGGATGATACGCCGACAAATAGACGATGATACACCGACAAAATATATAGGATGTTACACCGACAAATAGACGATGATACGCCGACAAATAGACGATGATACACCGACAAATAGACGATGAGATAAAAAGTCCTGTTCCCACCTCCCCCCCT